CTTCTTCTTCTTCTCTTCTTCTTCTTCTTCTTCCTCGTCTTATTCCTTCGAACCTCGACGATCCCGTCACTGTGCATGCAAACCTGTCGACCGCGAACGAGCCATGCGACTCCTCTCGTGCCCGCTTCTTGGACACCGGTCGAATCTACCGGAGATCGACGTCACGCGGTCTCTAAATCCCATGTTTCTTTTTAGCGTTTCCCTCAGAACTCGTTGCTATAATCGTTTCAGTCGCACAGTGGTGCTTAAAAGAGATTTTGCCGGCGAAACAGCGAGCTTTAATAATTGCTGTAGAAAATTAACCGAAAAGTATACGGGCCGACTTACCACTTACGATTCGCATTCGCACGTAACGCACGTTTCCGTGTGCATAAATGTATTTTTTCTTCTGTTACTTTTAACATTTGGACGATTCCAAGAAATGTTTTTAATCGATAACCATTTTCCTACACATATTTAGCATACGGAATGATTTTAATTGTATGGAAATTTCACGGTCTTATTATATTAAGGATGAATTTTTTAAATTTCAGGTTTGTTCGTCTTGACATCGCTATGTCATTCCGAAATCTCAGAAGACATCCGATCTGTGAGTAGGTATTATGTTAATTCGCTAAGTGGCCCCAAATGTGTATTTTCAGAATTATTATCTTTTCTCTTCGTGTCTCCCTTTCGTGCTCTGAGTGACTAAGTTTGAGTCATTCCATTAGAAGCTAGCGAATTGCGCATCGATTATCCGGATTCCTCTTACCCACAATGGCGGCGTTCGCACGATACGTGCACGGAAAAAAGAAAATAGCTGCCTTAGCTATATTATGTTGTAATATATGGATAGTTAATATTTAGTTGTGATACCTATATTGCTATTATATTTATGTATCAGGGGCAAATCGTTTTGTTCTCGCTTCTAATACGGTAAATAGAGTAGCAAATAATAGGTAAATAGAGTAATAATAATAGGTAAATAGGTAAATAGGTAAATAAATAATAGATAAATAAGTAAATAGAGTAGTAAATATAGGTATCACAATTAAGATATTACATATATTACAACATATATAGCTATGCACAGTTTTTAGCAACTACTTTCTTTTTTCCGTGTGGTAAGCACACCCTTGTCGCTTTATCCTTTACGGGAAGCTGCCTTTGCGTATGCTTCTTCACGGTTTGACGAATCTCTTCTCGGAACTTTAAAATATTAGTTGCTCTCGGTATTATGACGTCAAGATTCGCTTTGGAGCTCGAACATATGTTTGGGGCGGTGGCTTCTCGTGCTGAGGAATACGAAACACGCGATGAGAATGTGTCGTAATGAAGG